TGATCAGAAGGATAATTTTTGATTTTGGTTCTTAAGTGGTATTGAACTACAGACCTTGTGATTGCGACCTGGGAGCATTACTACTGTGCTATTGACCTACAGGTCTAAGTCATATAATATTTTAATTAATAGTATATAAAAATAAATTAGTATATAAATAATTTATATAATATTATAAATATTTCTGATATCTCAATAAAACATGTCATAATAATATATTATAGATTAAAATAATAATAATAATAATAATAATAATAATAATTAAAATTTTTTAAAAATATTATATTCAAAACTAGATTTTTACAAATTTAAAATATAAATTAAAATTAATTTTAAAAATTAAAATTTTATAAAATAATTACAGTATAATAATATAATTTAAATATTATAAAAAATATTATATTATTTTTTTATAAATTAAAATATTTTTCTAAAAAATATTTTTCTAAATTTATTAATAAATTATCAAAAAAAACTTTAATAAATAATTTTTTGGATTTCAAAAAACATATTTTAAAAAAATTTTTTATATTAATAAAATTTTTATAGTATATTAATAAAATTTTTCATTAAATCAAAAACAAATGTCTTATACTATATATTTAATTTAACAATTTGTTATTTTTCAGAATAATCTACAATGTCAAACTATTAACAATATAGAAATTATTAAAAAATAAAATATTGTTTTCTAAATTTAAAACTTTGTTTTTTTTAATTTGAACTAGCTTATTAAACTTCTTATACTGTATTCTTAAAATAGTATAATCCTTCAACTAATAATATACAATGATGCCATGTGAATAGTCTATGTAATATTGTAAATGATGGCAGATAAAAAAATGAAGTTTTATTCGACCATTTGGTCCCTAGCTGAGTCTGCCCACTCTCGAAGGCTTACTGTAGCTGGTCGCCGCAATAGGTTATCATTAATCTGCATGTATATAGAGATATAGTTTGTATGAGATGATTGATGTAATCTGCTGTAACAATTAATGTTAATAGAGCCTTGCATCTAATACCTAGTTGCGGTTTAAAGAAGTTTGTACTATACATACAATACAAAAATAATTCTTGTTTTAATAATAGATTTGTTCTATACTATATATGCAGATTAACTTGACGCAATTAATCGAGTTACTAAATATAGAATAGGGCAACTTAAAATTTTTGTTTGTGATCAAGACTAACCATATTAGGTGGTATAGCCGTGATATTAGTTGGCAAATGTGAAATAAGGAACTTGCCCGAAGCCTCTCTATCTCACCATGACAATTACACCCGGGCATGGACAGATTATTTGCAACCTTCCGCCCGCAACGAAAAAACCTGTCTTCACCACATTCCGAGCCTCGTATCCGTTAAAATTCCTAACACCGAAAATTCATTCGCCTTTTCTTGCAGCCGTCTACATCCTTACCTATGGTGGAGGTATGGTATCTGGTGACATAGTTTCTATTGAAGTTGAGACTCAACAGAATGTAAACCTGATGCTCTTGACACAAGGCTCAACAAAAATATATAAGCGAAAAAATCGGGAGCACACCCAAAATCAAGAAACCATCCATTCAGTGGGCACACAACAGAGGCTCAATGCGCATATACAGAAAAATTCAATGCTACTTCAGTTGCCCGAGCCTACCACGTGTTTTCATGCCGCAGACTATTCCCAACGTCAGAAATTCTCATTGGAGAATGATACATCTTCTGTAGTGATTCTAGACTGGTTTACTAGTGGAAGGATGTCACGTGGGGAGCGTTGGGAGTTTGCAAGTTATGAATCAGGAATAGACTTACTAGTTGGCGAAAAATTAATTTTTCGTGACGTAGTATTCCTAAAAAATGATTTTGAGAATAAGGATGTGAATGAAATTCATCGTCGCTTAGAGCCCTATGAATGTTTTGCAACATTAGTGATCTATGGACCTAAAACAATTTCGATAACAAATCGTGTACTAAATGAATATGATAAAATAGTAGTGGGTAAGACGAATAGAATAATTGATTTAACGTGGTCAGCTTCCGCGCTTTGTTTTGAAAGGGAAAAGGTAAACGGAGTGGTTATCAAGATAGCGGGAATAACCACCGAAATGGTAAGGAACTTTTTGGTCCATGTTGCTTTGAAGGGCTTGGATGAGATAATTGGTGAGAATTTATTTGAAAGAGCTCTATAAATAATAGTCATGAAAGCAATTTTTTGGCATATTGCAGAGTCTCCAATTCTTTAGTAAAATTTTCATTTAGATTAGTCAGTTGAGAGTCCAAAAAAGTTTTTTATTGTTAAGTAATGAATGATAAAATTAAAAGTAGTAACAAAAAAAAATGCCCACAAGAGAAAGATAATCGGTGATCGCTATTATTATATTAAGGAAAAAAGGAAGAAAAAGATTTAACACGGATTTTTACCGACTTTTTAATACGCCTATAGGTACTTCATCATCGCTACTAATTTCGCTTCTTTTTCTTTCTAATATTTCACCGATCGGATATTCTTCCTCGCTGTCTTTGTGACTATTTCTTTCTGAATCCTGGTAGTCAGAAGCATCAAGCATTTCATCCAATACCGAATCATAATAATTCCTTCCTAGATCTGGTTCACTCGTGAGATGGTCGTTATTGCTTTGTCGTTTGCTGAGTGATGTTCGAAGGTCATCCGTGTCACTTCTCCTAGCATTTAGGATGCTTTCGAGTGGTCTATCATCGTCATCTTCTTGAGTCAAAATATTTGACGCATCTGTGCGTAAATTCTTGTTCAATGCTATGAACGCCAATGGTGATTTATCACCTGATGAAATATCGGAATCGTGGTCTGAATTTTCCCTTTTAGTTGGCTTTTCTTGCCTTGATTTCTTTTCTCTGGTTGATATGGCAAGATTTAAATCTTGCGAGTTTCCAACCAAATCTTGGTCGTAGCTATGATCATTACGGTCATCTCGTTTTGTTCTCGAAGAATACTCGCGTTGTAATTGTTTTGTTCTCGAAGAATACTCGCGTTGTAATTCATGTTTTGTGGATCTATGACTTCTAGAACGATCTATCTTAGAATGTTCTCGATCTGGGGAGTTTGGTTGGCGCGGACCCGATCTTGGACGATATTTTCCTGATGCGGTTCTACTCGTTTTACGACTTTGATGCTCACGATGTTCTCTTGACGGTGAATTTGAACGTCGTTTACTTTTCTCATGTCCGACTTCTTCGTCACGTGATAATGCCGACGCAGAACGCGACAAACCAGATGAACTTTTAGATAGCTTGGTTGATGAATGAGAATCGTGTATGGAATCCTTCTTCGTTGTACCGGATACACGCCTTTTATGATCATTGGACTTCCTGTTGTCGAGCCCGTAATTCATGTCTATTACTACGGATGATAAATGTCCGTCAGCTGTCGAGCTTGGCTGGGTCGACATTTCTGAATGATCTTTCCCGTTTTTTCTTTCCTTTGATGATCGGGATATTGACTTTTTTTTTAAAGAATCTTGATTAACATGATCAGTCGATTTTTTCTTACTTTTGACGCTATCGTGATTATTAGGTTTAGGAATTGCATGCGAATCATTTGTCACATTACCGATCCATATGAGCGTGTTCTTCTGTAGTTGTTCAGGTGGTGGATCGTCATCATCGTTGTCAGCTTCATTTCGTAAAAGCGAACTAGGATTAAAAATAGAATCAACTCTCTTATCACTGCTTCCTGGTGTGACCGACGTATCCTTGTGGTCATGGGCAGTCACCTTCCGCCTATATATCAGATAACAAGCTCCCACTAGTGCGAGACCGAGAATGACTCCACATATTATAATCGCATATTTTGGCCATGTTCCAAGTGGACCCAGTGATATACTGTTAGAATCATCATTTATAGCGGCAAGATCAGTGCAATATTGATCTTGCTGACAGTTATCACCGAAGATAATCACTGATGCTGAAGGTGATGCATTTGCAGGAAGCTGTGATATTTCTACTGTGAATTGAGCAAAGAATACCTCAGCCTGTTCTTGACATTCATACTGAGAGGTGGAAATTTGCTGATTGACAGTGCAATCCAAGAATGAAAAAGGAGACGACGGATTGCCCAGGACTATATAACCCTGCGGAAAAGAAATAGCCGTTGCATAATTATTGTTATGTTTTTTTGAGTCCACATGAGAGGCTGTCACATTTATTTGATATTGATCTGGCGAAGTTTTAAGGCTGGAAGCCAATGAAAAACAGCACGATTTTTCTAAATTACATTAAAGAGAAGGATTAATAAATGTGATAGATTGTCAAAAGTGTTTACGGATGCCACGTCTTTTCTTTGTAAAATAAATGCAAACTCTTTACAATAATTACGAGAAATTTTCCACTTACGTGCATCAACGATGTTGGTCCCTGTCACTATCAAGGCAATAAAGATAGTTGAAAGCGCCCACATTGTTTTTGAAGATAATTCATAAGCCATGTTGGTCTAAAATTGATTTGAAAGCTAGATAAAGCGGGCAATAATCAAGAACAATACTGTATATATATTTTTATTTATTTACCAGTATTAACTAACTACTGTTAACTTTGTAAACAGCAATTCGTAAGAATTGAGAACGCGAAATTAACGTCTGAACATGATAATGAAAGATTAACTTTTGCTTGCTGAATGAGAATTAAACTAAAAAGGTTGCATTCTTTTATTTTTCAGGAAATATACAAAAGAATTGAGCAATGCAAAGGTTGAGTGAATAGGGGGGGTAATGCTTTTTCGTGGGAATGATTTAGTTAAAAAACGTTATTTCGCGTATGAACTAAGAAATTTGAAGACATCAAATTACAAACCGTCTGTCGGAAGTCAATGGAAAGAAATTACAAAAAAAAAAATTTATGCACAGTTAAAAATATCATTCATTACTTTTATCTGTTTCATTTAAAACTAGCCTACAGTTGGTATAATTAATCAAAACGAAAAGAATATCGTTAGGAGAAAATTTAAGTTGAATTGTTTTGTACTACGTATACCAATATAAGTTATACACAATATAAATTTGAATTTCGCTTTAAGGAGGTGTAACAACACCTGATCCAACCAGGTTATAAATAAAGTTTACCAAAAAATTAATTTGGCTAGTGTAAATCTGATGATTCGCAATAAAGAATTATCACACGATACATGTATGTATGTACGTGCGCGACGCGACGAATTATCGATGGTCATGATCCGTTACATTGTAATTGCTACGATGTTAAATTTATAGTAAACGCGTTATTTGCAATATAGAGATGTGCACCAGAACTCTACCTTCTTTTGAAAATTTAATTGAAAATGGAATTATTAAATTTATATACTGTATATTCCTTAAACCATAAAACATTTTCAATCATATTTTGCTTGAAAATAATTAATATTTAAAAATAAGGATAAGGATTATACTATATAGTTATTTAATTAATTATCTTTAGTTAGCTATAGTTTATCACTATAGATCTTCTATTATTTTAATTGATTAAAAAACTTAACTATGAATAAATTCAACTATTTAAATTCTTTAATTATTTGACTATTAATTATTTTTAAGATATTTCTTTTTTTTTTTTAATTTGCTTGAAGATCCTTCTTGACTTTTTTCTTATAGTATTTCTTTATATTATCAATCTTTTTAATTTTTATTTTTTCTTTCTTAAATCTATATTTTTTTTCAATCTAATTTAATTTTTTTTTTCAATTAATTATAATTTTACAATATATTTTTTTCTAAAAAGTTTTTTTTTTAACCTTTGATCAATAAAGTTTTAATTTTTTTTTTAAAAATAACTTGAAGAGTATTTTTAAAAGTTATTTATATATTTTTTTTTGTTTACAAATTTTTTTGATTAAAAACTTAACTTTTAGTAATCAATAGTAAAAAAGTTTTTAAAGAAAAAAAACAAGTTGCAAAATATCTAAAAAATTTTTTATCTTTAAAGCAATTGTTTATAATAATTTTTATAATTTTTATAATATAAAGATTATTTTTCTTCTTAACAATTGTTCTAATTTTCTTAAAGCTTCTAATTTTTTAATTTTTTAAAAATATTTATCTCAATTTGATCCTAAATTTTTAAATAATACAATTTTTATTAAAAATAATTAATCAAATTAAAATATATTAATTTTAAAATAGATATATGAATCAATAACATAGTGATAATGCATCCAGGTCACCATGCAATACTTCTGAGTTCAATACTACTATAAGATAGTACTACCTAAACCTAAATGATACAAAAAGATTGCATCCATCTTATAATAATAATTACTATCACCTCTGATCAAGATTTTATCTAATTATGGAATAACCAAAAATCACAAGATACTTCAACCAGTTTTAATACTGAAGTCACTTTATCACAAAAATAGATTTCAACAAACTTTTACAAATAAGTTGAAGATCTGCATATTATAAAAATTAGAAGATTAGTGAAGCTTAGGTATATTAATTAAAAGAGGATCTCTATTAAGAATCAATATCCATCCAAGACTCCCCATAGGCAGGTTGTAATAAGTTATATAAAAAGAATCATTGATGGAATAAAATAATATCTAAAATTTTATATGAATATTCTATAGGCATACTGTAATAAATACTATAAAATGAATACTTAATAGGATGAGATATAAAAGGAGTCCTATGTTATGATCCTTAATAAAGAAAAAAGTAACATAGATATAAAAAGTTGGGTAATTGAACTTCTTTCAGCAACAAGCCATATTGATAGGTTAATAATCTAAAAATAGATTTACATTGACTACACTATAAATTATATCTAGTTCTTGTATATATTTCTAAAATATATATAGTCAGATATATATTATATATAGGCTGAAACTCTCTGTACAAATGTGCAATATTCATGTATAACTAAGCATTGTTATTTTAAAAAAAAAAAAAATTTAAAATATAATTAAACTTTTAATAATTATAATTACTTATTTTAATAGTATTATTAATAATAAAAATGAAAAATTTATAAATATTTTTTTTTTTTATAAAACAAGTTCTTAAGAAAGATAATTATTATTATTTTTTTTTTTTTTTAACCCGCTGTCAGGCTAGTTATGTGCGCTTTATTAAACAAAAGTAAACTATACATACATTTA